GAAAACACCCATTTACACGGGTCCATGGGGAGGGTCCATGGGGGTTGTGGTGTTAAAGCCTCGACTTGCACAGGGTTCGAGACAGCAGGTGATGAAGGGAAGGAGGAGTGACCTGGCCCTGCCCTGACCTCAGTCTCCTCCCAAGTCCCGTCTGTCCATCCTCCCGTCATCGCGGCCAGTACCTCCCCACACCTCACCTCTGCCTCTCCGCTTCAGGGCCAGACTTCCTGCAGGGGCCACCCGGGGGTCACTGTTGAGCAGCCAAGGAAGTGGGGTGTTCATTGCCGGCACCCCACAGGTCCTCGGAGGGAGGCCCTGCGCCCTCCAGTGCAGGAAGGCCGGCTGTGTCCCCAGCACAGCAGACGGTCTGTCCGGGACTTGGCCCTGGGTTGGCCCTGAAGGCTCTGATTCCGTCAGGACACTGTCACTGGCAGGCGCTCGGCTTTGGAGCCACGGACAGGAAGGAGGGTCCTTTCCACTCAGTGCTTCTGTGCCCAGGGTCTCTACACGCGTGGTCTTCCTGGTTGCCTGGCCCCCACCCCACGGACTGCGCAGGAGGCGAGCGTGCTGGGAGGGTCTCGCCGTGTGGACACGAAGGTTGTTTCCACCCGTGCGTGGGAGCAGGCAGGGAGCAGTGTGGGGTCAGACACCGGGCCTCCTTCTTTGCCTTTTTCTCTATTAACTGCACGTACTGGGGTGGCACTAGTTAATGCACTGCACGTACTGGGGTGGCACTAGTTAATGCACTGCAGTACTGGGGTGGCACTAGTTAATGCACTGCAGTACTGGGGTGGCACTAGTTAATGCACTGCACGTACTGGGGTGGCACTAGTTAATGCACTGCACGTACTGGGGTGGCACTAGTTAATGCACTGCAGTACTGGGGTGGCACTAGTTAATGCACTGCACGTACTGGGCGTACAGCTCTGTGATCTCACCTGTGTGTTGCATCGTGTGCCCCACCCGAGGTCTCATCTCCCTTCGTCACCATGCATTTGACCCCTGGACCCCCAGCCCCCCCCCACTGCTGTTCGTCTTAGTTTGTTGTTCATTTGTTTTCGGAGTGGAACTTTATGGTTCCTGGGCTTTTCCATCGGACTTACATTGTTGCACGTGACAGGATTCTTTGCCTTTTTTTTTTTTTCTTTTTTTAAGAAAGGTTCTTTACCTTTTGATGTCCATGGCCAGGGGGACACTGAGCCTGGTGGGGCCTCCAGCAGGCGTCCTGTCAGGGGGTCTTGCCAGCTGCCTGGGCAGGAGAGGGGTGCTGAGGCCCCCCTTTGGGGGGACCGGGGTATTTGGGATGCGTGGGCACACGAGGGAGGGCCCTGGGGGAGGAAGAACCAGAGGCAACTCTGGAATTTGCCAAAGAAGGCCCAGAAAAGCAAATCCTGAAGCAGAGTAAATAAATGATGTGTATAAGCAACTTGGGAGAGTGACATTTAAACAGGCTAGCGTGCCATTCCTTTGAGGTGTTAATAGGCTAATGTAAGTGAACTCTCGTTGCCGGGAGGAACATGTCCACCCGACGTCCAGAAACAGCAGCTTTTAGGTGGAAATGGTGGGTCACCAGTTTGGCCAAAGCTTACTTTTTGCCTTTATTTGCTCTCAGGGCCTCAATTATAAAAGGTGTATATCGAACACGCAGGTAACCTGTGCATCAGAGTGCGTCACGTCTGCCCGGGCTGCGCTCCGATCGGCCCTGGACGGAGACACGGGCCTCAGGAGGCCATTTGAAATAGATCTTTTTCTTCAGTGATTTCATAGATTTTTTTTTTTTTTAAGCTCATTGGTAAAAACATGCTGAATTCTCCTTAGCTGGCTTGGCTGCAGGAAGCTCACTCCTTTGAAAAATGGTAGCAGTATTTGGGCAGGAAAGCCCCAAGTCAAAACACCAGTCACATGAGGAGCTGACACCTGCCTTCATGCTCAGCTACGGCTCAGCGTGAGCTGTGCCTGCGCGTCCGGAGCCCGGGCCAGCGGTGCAGAGCCCGCCCGGAGCCCGGGCCAGCGGTGCAGAGCCCGCCCGGAGCCCCGGGCCAGCGGTGCAGAGCCCGCCCGGAGCCCGGGCCAGCGGTGCAGAGCCCGTCCAGGAACCAGTACTGGAGGAATCGGGCTTGAACCCAGGTCCGGCGGACCCTGGCCTTGCTTTTTTCCTCATTACTCCCAGTGAGAACAGTCAACAGAGAAGATGAAATCCCCTCCCTGGCCTCCCTCGCAGACTCTTCCCATTAGCTCTGTAATCACTGTGGTTTAGGACGTGGTGTTGAATCTCTCACATTTTGAACAAAGGGAACATAAATATGCTCTTAGCCCATGGCCGCTTTGGCTCAGCAGTTAGAGCATCCGCCCCCGCAGACCAGTGACTCTCCGTTCGATTCTGATCAAAGGCACGTACCTTGGTTGCAGTTGGTCCCAGGCCCTGGTTGGGTCGTGCGGTTGGCAACCAGTCGATGTGTCTCTATCATATCGATATTTCTTTCTGTCTCTCCCTCTCTCCCTCCCATGCTATCTGATAAAAAAAAGTAGAAAATATCCTCAGGTGAAGAATAAAAATATATAGATGTAGATATAGATATATGCTTTTATATTTTCTAATTGAATAATAAGTAGTCTCATTTGTCTAAGAATTACCACTACCACCACCCCACAAACACCCCAACGCCCTCCAACATCACTTTCGCCTCTACATTCGAACAAATATACAGAGAATTTCATTGCCGTGTCGGCTGGTGGACAAGACGGCTGACGGCTCAGAATGGGAGCGAGGCAGGCGCTGGCTGAGCCAGGCCTTCCTGTCGTGTGCACGAGGGGCTGAGGAGGGACCCCACCCTGGCATTGCAGTCTTGCCTTCAGTTTTATGGACGTGCACCTCAAGCTGAAAAGTGCTTTGCTTTTGAAGAAACGCAACCTGCCCTTAGAGGTTGCTTCCCATAGCTCATGCTAGAGGTCTGGCTTCCTGTCCATCCACCCCCCCACCAAATCTATACACAGAGAATTTCTCTTTTTAGCCACTTAGAACAAGACTCCAGTGTGAGAATACGCACTTATCACTGACTTCATTTCTAACGGTGCCGTGTGCGACACACCTCGTGTGCGGGAGGCACACTCCCTGAGGCTGTTCATGGGAGGTGACAGCAGCGAGCCCCTTCCTGCTCGCGGAGGGGACTGTGCCTGTGGCAGACCTCCCAGCACCTCAGCCCCGTTCCCATAGCCGGAGCCCAGGGAGCCCAGGTGGGCAGGAGACCACATGTTGGGCTCTGGCTTTGCCCTGTACCCAAAATGTCCTTGCTGAGCCCCACCTCCAGGCTGAACCTGGCCTGGGACACCGCAGTGCTCGCCATCCTAATGCGAACGTGTCACGCCCTGAATTTCCCGTCTGTAATCCTGGGTAAGTAAATCGGCGTGTAAATGATGATCCGTTGTTCTGTCAAAGGGGCAGAGCCACTCTCTAACCTGGGAGGAAAATGCTATGTCCCTCAGTAACACAGAAATCAGTGCACTGGTCACCCTCTGTGCAGAAGCCAAACCCCATGGTCGGGGGGGAGAGGAGGGCTCCCCACGGCTGGTTGGCTGGAACCCGAAGGGCCTCTCGTCTCACTTCTCAGAAATGAACCGAGTCGTGTCTTGTGGGGCAAACTCTCCGTCCGAGCTGTGCCGATGCCCATGCACTGGGCACCGTCCAGGTGTGGCTGGCATTCTGTGCTCAGGAGGCAGCAGAGGTCACATCTTCCCTCGTCCCAGGTGTGGTCGTGTCCTTGGTAGCAGGCAGACCAGTCTCAGGACCCTGGGCCGGAATCGCTGAAGAACTCGAATGTGTAATTTCTAACAATATCTTGCAAAGTTGCTTTTTTTCCATAAACAATTTATACATTTTATTTATTTATTTATTTTAGTTGATTTTGAGAGAGGGAGACAGATAGTAGTAACATCAATGAGAGAGAACATCGACTGGCCGCCTCCTGCACGCCCCCCACTGGGGATCAGGCCCACAACCTGGGCATGTGCCCTGACCAGGAATCGAACCAGTGACCCCTTGGTGCCTGGGTCCACCCTCAACCCCTGAGCCACACCAGCTGGGCTGTTGTTTTTTAACTGAGGTTTATGGTCTTTTTTGTTGTTGTTCATTCTCACCCAAGGATATTTTTCTACTGATTTTTAGATGGAGTGGAAGAGAGAGAGAAACACTAATGTGAGCGAGACACATCAATTGGTTGCCTCCTATATGACCCCAACCAGAGCCAGGGATCAAACCTGCAACCCAGGTACATGCCCTTGATTGGGAATTGAACCTGTGACCCTTCGGTCTGCAGGCCGGTGCTCTGACCGCTGAGCCAAATGAGCCAGAGCCAGGCTTGTGGTCTTACCATGAAGGGGCCCCAGCCTGTGGCTGTCCGGCCCATGGAGCTCCTCGGCGGGTGGAATTCCGTGGAGCAGGTGACACATCTCCTTTCTGTTCTGTTACACACCTGGGTGACAGGGCTCAGACCACATGGACAGTAACTGTAGTGAGGGGTGTGTGCCCCGGTAGAAGGCATGGGAATGCCAGAACTCTCCTGGCCACAGAACCGTGTGCTCACACGTCCTGGACAGTCCCAGGCCATCGGGGACAGCTGTGCCGGGGTCCTGCCACCCTCTTGGGATGTGCTGGTCAGAGAATTCCTCTCTGAGGTTGGTGTGGCCGGTGCCAGACTGTCAGACGCTTCCAGCCCCTGGCACTCCCTACATGTCGTGGATGGGATCTTCGGGTCTGCACCCGTGTGTCCTCCTCAGCCCAGCCCCCTCCACACACTGCTCGTGTGTGTGTGACACCACCCTGACCAGACACATTAGGGTTAGTCACCAGAGACGTGGGGTGCGTGAGGTCGGCCACGGATGCCCACGTGTGTCGCCGCGTGTCCCAGCCGTGGTCTTCACGGAGATTTCAAGCAGAGTGCGTGGCAAGCCAGCGCGATGGAGGCTGCTGTGGAAATTCTCATAGCCAGTTGCCTGTGTTCCAGATCGCGTCCAAGTACGACCACCAGGCCGAGGAAGACCTCCGCAACTGGATCGAAGAGGTGACCGGCATGAGCATCGGCACCAACTTCCAGCTGGGTCTGAAGGACGGCATCATCCTGTGCGAGTGAGTGAGGCCGCCAGGTGCCCTCCCTCGGTCCAGGCTGGGCCGCCTGGACGCCCTCTGGTGTCTGTCATGCCCCCCCTGCGGGATCCCAGCCCTGCCCCAGGCCCAGCCCTAGCTGTCACGTTCTTCTTTTCAGACTCATAAACAAGCTGCAGCCGGGCTCCGTGAAGAAGGTCAACGAGTCCTCCTTAAACTGGCCCCAGGTAACTGCCGCCCCGCCCATTTCAGGCGCCGCACTTTAGGCATCGAAGACTTGATTACGTTTTCAAAACAGACATTTTAGCAGAAGTTTGTGCGTGAGGCTGCTTTTTGGGTTTTTTTTTTTATCGTGTTATTGTTTTATCCTCATCCAAGGACATTTTTGCTTGAGATAGAACAAGAGGGAGAGAGGGAAGAGGAGAGAGAGAGAAACACTCATGTGAGAGAGACACATCAACTGGTCGCCACCCACATGACCCCAACCAAGGCCAGGGACAAGCTGCAACCAAGGTACATGCCCTTAGTGGGCACCGAACCCAGTTCTCTCTGGTCCGTGGGCCAGCACTCTAACCACTGCACAAAACCAGCCAGCGCTATTGTGTTATTTTTAATGCTTCCATAATTACTTAGAATTAGTTCTGTGATTATTAGATGTTTAGTCTAGAAGTTTTCTTATATTTAGTCTGTTCTCAGAACACTTCACAAGCTTACACAGAGAAATACAACCTAGACCATAAGCCTAAATTAGGGGAAGCAAAGAAATTTTTTCCACCCTTTATTGATTTGAGATAAAGAAGGAGAGATAGAAATATCAGTAAGAGAGAACATCAGTTGGGCCCACAATCTGGGCATGTGCCCTGACCAGGAATCAAACTGGCGACCTCTTGGTGCCGGGTCGACGCGCCACCACTGAGCCACACAGGCTGGGCCCATGAAGTCCTCATTGCTCTGTCCTCTTCCAGAGAGAGCCGAGCTCCGTGTATGGCCACAAATCCCCGCCAAGTAGCATCCTGCCTAACACCTCGTGACCGCCCACGGGGACTTGGGATTCTCAGGTAGCGTGACTGTCATTCTAGCTGCAAACGTTCTGTGACTCTTTTCCTTTACAGCTGGAGAATATTGGCAACTTTATTAAAGCCATCCAGGCTTATGGCATGAAGCCTCATGACATATTCGAAGCAAATGATCTTTTCGAGAATGGAAACATGACCCAGGTCCAGACGACGCTGGTGGCCCTGGCCGGCCTGGTACGTACGAGCCTCCAGGGGCGCTCAGCTGCGTGTGGGTGATGAGCGGCGGCACCCCGCCGGAGCTCAGATCAGGCAGGGGGCCCGTCCCTCCCATCAGGCCTGCTTTGTGGAAAGGCCGTGGACAGCTGCTGTACCCGAGAGCTCAGTCAGGACCTCACATTTCAGTCCCGTGGTGACAGCGACGGCCCTACACAGCTTCTAGCCCTGGCAACAGCACCTCATGCAGCCTCCCCCGGGGACTGGATGGGTCGTGTTCCTTTCGTAAAGCTGTTGGCGGGTCTTCACGTACAAGCTCTCCACTTGGTGTGCATGTGTACTTCTGTCTAGGCTAAAACAAAAGGGTTCCACACCACCATCGACATCGGAGTGAAGTACGCGGAGAAGCAGACACGACGCTTCGATGAAGGGAAGCTGAAAGCCGGCCAGAGCGTCATCGGCTTGCAGGTGAGTGGGCGCTTGGCCACGCCTCAGCGACACCCCGTCCGCCATGCGGAGCCCTCACCAAGGAATGGATGAACCGCAATGCAGGTTTTGGGGTGGATGTTGGTTTATACAACTTGTATCCATTTAACATCCACGAGATGATGGTGATGGTTTAGGAGAAACCTCTGGCGTGCCATCTGACTTCACAGTTGTTTCTATAGGAAATCATTTTTTCCCTTGCTTACACTGTGTTATAAGAAAATGCACTTTATAAATTTATAAACAGTAGAGACCAAGTGAAACAGTCTCACAGAACCTGTCGTTCATGTGCGGGAAGGACTGTGGATCGGTTCAACTCCTGGAAACACCAGTTCAGGTGTCTTCTCCCTTCCCGTTGAGCCTGGAGAGCTTCATAGAGACACCCGGCCAGAGCCCAGCACTGCGGATACAGCGCCCCTCTCTGGACGAGTCTGTGAGGCGGGCCTCTTTCTATATAGCACGCAGCTGTATCGGCGGTAAAAACTGGGAAACTGCAATTTTCAAGCAGTCAGTTGGTTAAAGTGTGACAACTCCATAAAAGAAACCAGTAGTGTGAAAATGATAGACAAGAGTCAAAGATTAAGGAAAACAGCCAAGTAACGAAACTCTAAGGTCTGTTTACCGCAGTCATGTTTAGGAGGTGTGCGTGCAGAGGATGTGTGTCCACTTGTGTGGGTTTGTAGACACACATACACGTAAGCCCAGCTGGGAGGTGCACCACCTTAGTTGCAGCCCCTTGTTTCTGCTTACACAGGGTTAGGGTTGTGAGCACACGAAACAGAGTTTGTTTTTGTATTCTTGTTTATTAATTCAATGGTGGATACTACTGTAAACCTATTTTTTGCTTCACCCTGTATATGTTTTCTGAATCTTTTCCAATGAACAGGTTTTACTTTCAGTAAAAACATTTTCCCTTTAATCCATCATTTTAAGGGAAAAAGACCAAGTGCAGAAACATGTCCCACCTCGGGGGGGAGGGGAGTTCATTACTGTTGGTTTGAAAGCCGCCAAGTTCATGTTCCTTGTTCTGCCTCCCAGACTGTCCAGTGGGTGAAGTTGGAGGAATGAAATGTGGTTCTTTCTCCATGAAAATGGTGGTGATTGGGATGAAGCAGCCCTTGTTCAGCTGCCAGGAAAGACACCTGGGGTTTGCTGCCTTGTTTTATGCAAAACATACCTGGACTACGGAAGCACGTTGCCGGAGACTGCTTCTGTCCCGACGTCACGGAAGCATGCCCCTTGATTTGGTTGTCGGTGCTGGGGGGAGGGGCGGAAGCAGAGGAAACTCGCCCTTCATTCTTCGGCCACTGTAAGAACTTTGCGTCTGTGCCCGTGTTTCCATATGGTTAATGATGAGGCTTTTATACCCAGCGAGGTGCTTGACAGTCTTCTTTTGAACATGAGTGTGCCTTGATCTTTACAAGAGGATGGGAGACTTTGTGCGCAGTTCACCTCAGCACAGGACGGGACTTGTCCACCTCTTCAATAGAACCAAGTTTTGTCGGTGTCATAAAGGTTGGTGACATTGGGTAATTAATGCCAATTTTATTTTTTAACTTAAAAGATGGGAACCAACAAGTGTGCCAGCCAGGCAGGGATGACTGCCTATGGGACCAGGAGGCACCTGTACGATCCCAAGATGCAAACTGACAAACCTTTCGACCAGACCACGATCAGCCTGCAGATGGGCACCAACAAAGGGGCCAGCCAGGTAAGCGGGGCCCCGCTGGAGCCCTCACAGTGCACAGTGGCTGTGCTGGGAACGACGCACGGACAGCAGACACCTTCCAACAAGGCTTTGCTGAGAAAGCAAACGAATGAAAGGCCCTTTTCAGCAGCCACATGGTGTGGTTCCTGCTTCTGTCAGTGGTTAGAACAGCCGACCTTTCTGCCTAACCAGAGGGAAAAAGAAAGGTGACCAGGTTCTGGCTCCAAACCCAAGTAACTTACTCATTCTGTTGCTCCTGGCTTTTATTTCTAAAGGAGCCCTTCATTCACGGGCCGGTACAATGATCTGCCGTTCCACAAGGAACCGTTGAGCTGATTGCTAGTGACTAGGGTGGACGCATAGCACACGGGATGCCGCTGGCGGGGTCTGGGCTCGCCCTTCACAGGAGGGAAGTAGCCCTTGTCCATCACAGCCCACCGGCACTGCGGGAGGCTCCCCAGCCACTGGTGAGCAGGTCCCATGGCCAACCAGAGTGTGTGCTGGGGTTGCAGGAAGCCTCTTCTCAACGACCCGACAGGAGATTTGGTGTGGCTCACCTTCATGGACATGTCCTATTTGACCGGCTTGCCTGTGTCTCAAACCCTTTTGAAAACTCAGGTCCTTAAGGACTACTCTGCGTGACTTTTCTTGTATGTATTATAAACTTTCAATGTTGGTAACCCAGCTCACGTATAAGGTTATAACAGCATAAACGCTGTTTTACATTGTTTATGGCTAATCTTCCCCCAAATCCAGAGCAGGTGGCATTGTCTCCGCACTGCCTATGAGAACCCGAAACGAACAGCACCTTGTGTGAGGCGCAGAGTGGTTCCGAGCGGAGCCAGGACTGGCAGCCGGGGGACCTAGTTCAGGAGCCAGTGAATATCGCTTTGTAGGAGACTCGTGTGCAGCATCAGGGTGTTCTGATCTAGCTTCACGAACCGAAGGGAAGTTCCTATGGCTCACAGTTGACGTAATTTCACCGTTTATGAAATAGTCACAAGGTTTCAGCCATTGCCGTGACTTTTGTTCTGTGCCCTGATTCTAGGCGGGGATGCTGGCGCCGGGGACCAGGAGAGACATCTACGACCAGAAGCTGACCTTGCAGCCTGTGGACAACTCGACGATTTCCCTACAGATGGGCACCAACAAAGTCGCTTCCCAGAAGGGAATGAGCGTGTATGGGCTCGGGCGGCAAGTATATGATCCCAAGTACTGTGCCGCTCCAACAGAACCTGCCATTCACAATGGGAGCCAAGGAACGGGCACCAATGGGTCAGAAATCAGCGACAGCGACTACCAGGCAGAGTACCCCGACGAGTACCACGGCGAGTACCAAGACGACTACCCCCGCGAGTACCAGTATGGCGACCAAGGCATTGATTACTAGTCGCAGAGGGGAGCTCAGTCCGTAGCCCACTGTTTTTATTCAGTGAGAACCAAGCTAGCCTTGAGTGATTTTTATCTTGTCTTCCTAAAACACTATTATGCTTATTGTACCTAAAAGAAATACTGCCTTATGTCCATTCCTTTTTCCTTCTTCTGCCTCTTCCCTGAATAGTGGCCGTTCCGTGCTGGGACAGTGGGGTCCCGCAGCGTGACCAATGACTCGCGTGAGAAGTGAAGGATACTGTGAAAGGGGTTCTCTTGTCCAGCCAGTTCTTTGCTGACACCTCTGTGCATTTTTACCATCTTCCACGGAAACGGGTGTCTTCAAACCATAGGAAGCGCCTTTTCTTGACAGTGTAGTGTCTGATTTCTACGTGGAAGACTAAACGCGTGCTCATAGCTAAAGGTGGCGTCTGCCAACTGAAGACGCGGCATTTTAGACATTTACACAGCCATGTTCCTACAGTATTGTTTGCTAATTTTTAAATAAAGTCATGATCCGTGTGCACCGGTGATGGCATGTGTACTCATTCTCTCACCTGAGCTGCCGGGACCTTTCCACGCGCGGTTTCGGAGCGTGGACAGTCGCCCGCAGGTGCGCGGGTCCGGGGTGCCTGTGCCCTGCCTGTGTGGGCCCATGTGCCAGTGCAGACTTGCTCTGTTTTCAACTGTATTTATTGCTGCCTTTCTCAGCATAAACCTATCCCATTGTATTTTTATAAATAAATATTTTTGGAACATTCATACGAGCCACCAGCTGATTATTTGAAGAAGCACTCTCTCCCCGGCACCGTTCCCAGCAGGTACTTGGACGTGTCTTCCTTCGCCCACAAAGCAGTGCGCTCTGGGCGGGGTGGGCTGCGGAGCCCTCTGACCTGGTGCACGGAAGCCACAGCAGGGTTCAGACGGTTACAGGCCTGTGCTGCTTCTGTTGTGACTCAGCTGCCCTGATCTACCTTAAATCAAGCTTCGGCTAATCTTAAAATCATCTTCAGAAACGTTGGTGGCGAGGTGGGTGGGGTTTTAATTCCTTTTCTGGGGTGAATAAATTTTAGTTCATAAGAAACATATACATGGTAGAGTCCAGATGACGGAGCAGAGAGACTCTGAGCTCACCTCCTGCCATGATCACAGAACCAGGGGAAGACCAGAGGAACAGAACTATGACTAAGGTTATAAAGAAGCCACGAGGCTGAGAGGAGGGCAGAGATGCAGATGGGCAGGGCCCACACCAACATGTGACCATTAAGGACTGGGAGGGAGGTCTCCCCTCCTCCCCAAGGAACAAGGGGTCCCAGCCCACCCGGCTGCCCAGAAGCAGACCAATGCCAGGGAGCAGAGTCCTCAGCACATCCAACCATGAAAACCAGCGGCTGGCGGACAAGCTCCCTTGGGCCCAGTGCCAGTGACACACAGGGAGGAACGGAAATGACGGGCATGGGGCGAGGGGCGGGACCTCCCCGACAGAGGCTGGTGGGTGTCATCATTCCTGTTGTGCTCTCCACCAGCCAGTGGCCCAGGGCAGTTGGACGCCAAATCTGTGTTCTTTATTAACTGGGCTAGCACCATTGGCTGTGCCCTGGCGATTCTGAGATGACCCCATGCCATCCATCGCGTGTACCAGGCCTGAGCCCCTTTCAGAAGCTCCCACAGACGGCCAGCCTCAGCCAGTGCTGCACGGCCTTCGGAGGAACGCATGCACCCCACATGGAGCCGCCAACCTCAGTGCCCGTCGCGGCTCCAGGCTCCCCAAGCCCGGTACAAGGCTGCTGGCCTCGGCCCACACCAGAGCCCCTCCCAAGACTCCAGACCCAACACAAAATTTAGATGGAACCACAAAAGAGCCCAAATAGAGCAATACTGAGAAAGAAGAACTGAGTCGGAGTATCACATTATCTGATACCATGCTATATTCCAAGACCGGTAATCAGAACAGCATGGCACTGGCATAAGCACGGACACTGAGGTCGATGGAACAGAAGAGTCGGAAATAAGCCCACAGCTGTCCGGTTAATTAACCTATGACACAGGAGGCAAGAATGTGCGAGGGGTAAAGGTCTTCGATAAACAGTGCCGGGAAAGCCGGACAGATACATGTTAAAAATGAAAGCACGCCACTTTCGTATAGCATATACAAGAATAAACTCAAAATGGATTGAAGATTTAAGTAAAACCCCCAGAAGAGAATAGGCAGTACACTCTTTGACATTGTTCTGGTAATTTTTTTATGACTCAGAGGGCAAAGATGACAAATCAAAGATACACAACAAGATGACATCAAATGAAAAGCTTCTGCATCGCAAAGAAAACCATCAACAAAGCCAAAAGGCAAACTACTGAATGGGAGGAGATATTTGCAAATGATATATCTGGTAATGAGTTAAAATCTAAAATTTATCAAGAACTCACATAGCTTAACATAGGAAAACACACACACCAAACAATCCTATTAAAAATGGGCAGAGGACCTGACTAGACACTTCTCCAAAGAGGAGATACAGATGGCCAATAGACCTATGAAATGATGCTCAATGTCACTATCAGAAATGCAAATCAACACCACGCGAGATACCACCTCACGCCTGTCAGAATGACAGTCGTCAATAAATCTACAAACAAGTGTGAGCGAGGATGTGGAGGAAGGGGAACCCTTGTGCACTGGTGGGAACCCAGACTGGCACAGCCACTTTGGAAACACTGTGGAGGTTCCTCAAAGAATTAAAAAATAGAACTGCCATGGGACCCTGAGTATTTATCGGAAGGAAACAAAAACACTAATTTGGAAAGAAATATGCCCCTGTGTTCACTGCAGCATTATGTACAATAGCCAAGCTGTGGAAGCAACCTAGTGTCCATCAACAGATGCTGATAAAAAAGCTGAGGTGCAGTTAGACAATGGAATGTTACTAACCATAAAAAAGAAGGAAATCCTGCCATTGGCAACAACATGAATAGACCTAGAGGGTGTTATGTAGAGTGAAATAAGTCAGACAGCAAAAGACAAAAACTAAGATATCACTTGTATGTGGAATATAAAAAAATAAATGAACAAAACAGAAACAAATTCATAAATACAGGAATAAACTGAGCTGCAAGGTGGGAGGGGACTGGGGGGGTGGGTGGAAAGGGGAAGGGATTAAGAAGTACAAATTGCCAGTTGTAAAAACAGTCCCAGGAATGTAAAGTACAGCACAGAGAATATAGTGAATAACATTGTAATAACTACGTATGGTGCCAGGTAGGTACTGGACTTACCTGGGTGATCACTTCGTAAGGTATACACATGTCTAATCTCTACGTTGTACACCTGAAACTATATAATAGTGTATGTCAACTATAATTGAAAAATAAATTTTAAAAGAGAATGCTTTACATAGAAATATAGCACGCAAAATGTTTAGATGGATACAATTTTAAAATCACTTATGATGCCATTACTTTAAAACATTCATTTCTAATCTCTAATGAACGTATACTTAAAGCACACTGGACCAGGAATAGGGTGTGCTGTTTAGTAATAAAATAAGGTTTATAATATGAAGTATCAGCAAAACCTAGCCTTCAGCCATGACAGAAGATCGAAGAGCTATGTAGCTTATGATGACTAAAACATTGTTCACTAGAAGAAACTGGCAGCCCACACTCAGATCTTTTCTCGGCCAAGTGATTCTTCTTTTTTTTTTTTTTATCCTCACCCGAGGACATTTTTCCATTTTTTTGTTCAGGTAGAGTGGGAGGGAGAGAGAAGAACAGAGAGAGAGAGAGAAACATCGATGTGAAAGGAACACATCGAGTGGCTGCCACCCGCACAACCGACCAGGGCCGGGGACAAACTGCAACCGAGGTACGCGCCCTTAGCGGGAACCGAACCCGGGTCTCTCAGGACCGCAGGCCGACGCTCTAACCGCTGAGCCAAACCGGCCAGGGCTCGGCCAAGTGATTCTGATAGGACTGGCTCTGGGGGTGTGGGGGCGAACCATGCTGCTTGTTTTGGCAGATGTGGAGCATGAGCCCGGGGTGCCACGTACCCACAAAAACCGTCTACTTGCTTATTGGGCCACTGTGACTGTTTCCAGAAACTGGTCTGTAAATCCCTCTGCTAATCCGAAGGTGCTGTTTGAGACAACAGTGCCCCTTGCATTTGTTCAAGCGGACCGCAAACTGCAAGCCACGTGCCGTCTTTAGAGGAGAGTCTCGGGAGCCTGCTCCGCCCGCTTGTCCTGCAAGCCAGCCAGCCTGGTTCTCCGTGAGAATGGGGAACTGTTCACCTTCTCCTCGAACTGAGATGAGGTTGCCAGTCGATATGTAAGACGTTCCGATTTGTTTAAAGCTCTAAAAAGAAAAAGCACCCCCAACACTCACCCTGATCACTGCATCTAAATCTCAGGAAGGGGCCTGGCGGTTCTCCAGCAGGGCTATGGTCCAGAATGTTCCCCAGTTTATAAGAGGAAGCCTGGAACTTTTAAATCAGCTTAGGTGTGGACAGTCACAACACCTAAGAACTGTACTTGGCAGACTGATAACCCATCTGCGCCTTCCCAGGGCAGGCGTCAGGAAGCCCGCGCTGCACGAGGACGCCCGCGCAGGCCTCTGCCAGGTTACTACTGACTGCGAGGGAGCGTGTGCTTTTCATCGGTGCCCTGAGATATGTGTAAATGGTGTGTTTTTGAACTGATGTGTGTACACACAGTGTTAAAGGGGTTTTCTGCCCCAGTGAGTACAAAGAGGCTGTGAGCTGTCTGGGTTGTAGTGTTGGAAGGTGGCCGAACAATAAGACCACACAGAGAAGAACAGGTCTGTGGGCCTGCGGTTTATTCTTGTCTGGCTCTGGAAGGACCTTCCCAGGCGCAGTACCTAAGGGTGCCGAGCTCACAGGGGCCGCAGTTCTGTTCCTTCTTCGTTCCTCACGGGGCTCCTGTCTCTCAGTGGCCTCGCGCCATGTAACATGTTCATCCTTTTGACAAAACGCTGAAAAACAAGGCGAGGATTAGTCCAGGGCTCTGGCCACACTGCTGGCAACCGTTTACTTGGCCAGGTCACTTTGGGGTGTTTAATCCTTAAAAAGCTTCCCCTGTTAAACTAAAACATTTTGGTTGGGGGGTGGTGTTTAGAGCCCATCTTAGCAAAGTGCGAACCAGAAGGCGGCCTGGCCGGCTCCCCACCACCATCAGAAGCATCCTCTTGAGAGTGTGACACACAAGCCAAAGTGCTAGTGTATCTTTATGTCTCATGTGGGGAAGGACGAAGACACATTGTTATAAAACAAGAGGGGCTTGTTGAGCTCATCGCCCGGCTGAACGGAAGGGGCTTCCCATGTTCCTTTTGAAAGGGCTTTTACACCCACATTTTACAGCAACAGAACAAAAGACCATCTTCAAACACCACTTGCCCCAGACAACGGGAAGAGATGCAAGATGTCACCAGCTGTCCAAAGGTTCCTGTCTGCACAGGATCAGGCCAGTAACAACTGTGCCGGGCTGCTGGGGACAGCTGCCTGCTATTTCAAGGCAGCAGGCTGCTCTCAGGGTGTGGCTTCCTCGTGCGGCACTTGCTTAGGACAGGGCCCGAAATGGCAGACCATCCACCCCAACCAGACAAGGTCCTCACTGCAGTGCCCCCAAGACAATGGCTGCGATAGGGTGCTTGGGGTGCGCAATGCTCCCGGAAAAGGTCAACGGTGAAAACCCCAGAATGTCTGAAAGGCCATACTGAGTCATTAGCACCAGCAGGACTCGGACTGCTACTGCGTCCAGGACACCTCCTAGCCAGGGGCATTTGGTCAGCTAATGGTGTGGCCTCACTTCCCTCCGGGGAGGGTCAGTATGTGTGGGAGGAGCTCAGAGAGGCCGCAGGGGAGACACCGAGGCTCAGCACCTGTGAGCGTGGAGAGCGAGACAGGGAATGAGGTGTGCGCTCACCAAAGACTCTTGGTCCATGAAGTAAGGCTTTTGGGATGATCCGTCATTTGTTTCCAGGTCAACAGCAAAACACAGGAACAGTGCACCCAGCACAGTCTCGAACACAGACAGAAAGCTGTGTGCCACCACGTAGGCGAAGAAGGTGGCCAGCAGCAGCGGCACGGCCCACACCTGCAGGGTGCGCTGGTAGTTGAAGGCCATCAGTCCTCCGAAAGCCGTGCAGCAGGCCACCAGCACCTGTGGAAGCAAGCGCGTTGCAAACCTCTGCAGGTCAGTGAGAATACTTAGAAAATGCTGTTGTCCGTCACCATAGCTTCATATGTCGACTGGAATTGAAGAAGAAAACAGGAAAAGCTACGATCGTGAAGGAAAACCTGGCTAATTGGGAGCATGAGAAGAGGGTCTGCACTTTCACTCTATTGGCACCGCATGTTTGTATTTATCTAGATGCCATGATACCTTTACAAAACTGTTCTCTGACACCACAGTAAGCATCTTCACTTTAAAACTCTTTTATAAATACTTCTTTTTTCTATTGGTTTGTTTGTTTGTTTGTTTTTAAGAGAGAGGAACGGAGAGGGAGAGAGAGAGAGAAACAGCAATGAAAGAGAACATTGATTAACTGCCTCCTGCATGCCCCCCTCTGGGGGTTGGGCCCACACCTGGGCATGTGCCCCGACCAGGAATCGAACTGGCGACCTCTTGGTGCCTGGGTGGACACTCAACCATTGAGCCACACCGGCTGGGCTGCAGATGCCTCTTTTAAATACCAGTGCAACAATCCATTGAGTGGACACACTGCAGTTTAACCTGTGATTATCTGCACCCTGAGGACTGAACAGAAGGGCTCCCCATGCTGGAATGGGGAGACAGTAACTGCAGGCTCTGGCCATATGCAATTCTTATATTCCAGGACCAGGGCCACAGGCCAGGATGGAACTAATTCCCTAAAAGACAAAACACAGCCTGTCTGGAGTCCGCTTTGTCCTTGGACATCCATGAAGAGAAGCATGACCATCTGAATGCCACTTGATTCAAAAAACCAAAATCATTGGTCTTCACAGCTCATCATCAATTATGTCTGTAATTGGAAATACAGGAAAAATGGGTTGTTTCTCAAAGTACAGTAAAAAAGTAATCTGTTATAAAGATGAAAACCTCATTGCAAAAGATTTTTGAAAGAAGTTATTAGAAAATACATCACCCATAATTCTACCAAGCTAATGCCAACAATACAACCAGTTCAAATACAGTCACAACCGAGATGAATGAGGCCGTTGAAAATACAGCCACAACCGAAACAGCTGTGGCTGTTAGAACTACAGTCACAACTGGGACTGAGGCTGTGGGAAATACAGTCACAACCAAGATGACCAAGGCTGTTGGAAAGGTTCCACCAGCTGTGCTTCTGCAGCGACTGTCACATGGAGTCTTCTTGGGCCCAGCAGAGCCTAAAAATATGTGTGCAATTAACACACACGTCAGACCCAAGCAGGTTGTAACTTGTTGCTGACAACAGCTTACTCTGCAGGCAGTGCACAGACACACCCAAATGAAGCACAGCATGCTGAAGGAGTACCCAGGGGTCCCCACATTCGGCACTGGCCGAGTCACAACTGGATCCTGAGAATTTGTTCACTTGGGGGAGGACCCAAGTATCCACTTTCTGAGGCCAGTAGCGTCTCCACTGTAGCTGTGAAAACATGGGACTGAGAATGGAGAGAAGCAGAGACAAGACAGTGAGACCAGGAGGGAAGGCCTGACTCCAGCTCCTGGGGGTCCTGGGAGAGTTATTCATCAGGACACCCTGGGCTGAGGGTTAAACATAATAAGGAAGCAGAGCATCTACCTCAGAGGGGGCGCTCGAAGCATCTACTCCCATTCCCAGTCCAAGTCTTGCTACACAACTTTGTTTTGCCTCCCAAGTGCCGCTATTAATTGTTTTAGTGAGGACTTCTCTCTCACCTTTCCTAGAAAAATGATGAAGTCTCCAAGGCAGTTCGCAGATAAGAAGTGACTTGAATTCTCAGACAAGAGCCTGAGAGCATCTTTCGCTGATGTACAAAAATCTGTCCCGTTGATGGCTGTGGTCGTGTACACTTTCTGAAACAACAGACAATAGTTAGAAAGACGATGTTTGTAGCTCCTGTTCTCAAGGCAACATAATGTCGGTACAGAGTTTGCCAAAGAAACTGGTCACTATAAACCCATCACAAGTCTGAGTGATGAGTCTGATATTATGTGTAGATATTTTCAAAGAATTGCAGTAAATGGAAAAGATAAATAAGTACTTTGGGTCACTATGGTGCATTGAGCACCCCAGTGCTAACATGGAAATGAGGGGTGAAGAATAAATTATTTCTTAAAGCACAGCAGAGCCTGAGGGCAGAAAAGGAAGTTTAAGTGCCCAAACAAAGCAGACCTCCATGGTTGGTGAGGCTGACCCCGGCGATCAGTAAAGGCTTGGAGGCTGGGGCCAGGGATGCCGCCCTTCCTGGGTGAGAGACCATGCGCAGGCCCTTGGAGGGAACTGAGCTCCCTGCACAAGTTCAGGATTTATCCCCAGTTTAAACCCATGAAAGTGGTAGAGAAATGCTCCTCCACCTGGGACACTGAACGCCTCCGTTCTGGGGAGGCAAAGAAAGCCGAGGCCCTCCCGGGCCAGGAGAGGTGGAGCCCCCCAGATGAGCACCTTGAAGACGACAAAGTGTTCACAGGAAAGATTACTGACAGCTCAGTGCACAAGAGAGCCCACCCCAGGAGGGCCTGAGGTGAAGCCCTGCAGGGACTGTGTTTACAGCAGTGACCACAGGAAGGGCAGCCTGGTGTGAAAAGTGAAGAGAAAGCCCCGGCTGGTTTCGCTCAGTGATTAGAGCGTCAGCCCAAGGACCAAACCGGCACAGGTTTGATTCCGGTCAAGGTTGCAGTTCAGTCCCCAGCCCTGGTTGAGCTCGTGCAGGAGGCAGCCAGTCAGTGTGTCTCTCATCTCGATGTTTCTCTCTCTCCCCCTCCTTCCCTCTGTCTGAAGATAAATAGAAAAAAAATATCCTCGGGTGAGAAATAAAAAAAAAAAGTGAAGAGACAGTGAAGAAACCAAACCACAGAGGAATCCTAGAAATGAAAATAAATAAATAAATATGCAATTTAAATGTTGCAGTGCAGCCCTGGCCGGTTTGGCTCAGTGGTTAGAACGTTAGCCCTCGGACCGCAGGGTCATGGGGTCAAGTCCCAGTCAAGGGCATGTACCTGGGTGGCAGCTTTGATTCCCGGCCCATCGGAGGCAATCAATGTGTCTCTCTCATATCAATATTTCTTTCTCTCTCTCCTCCTCCCTCCCTTGCACTCTCTCTAAAAATCAATGGAAAAAAATCCCCGAGTGAGGAGTAACAAAAATAAAAAATAAATGGTACAGTGCCTTTGTATAGCTGACCTGTTTCCTTATTTAATAAGCATTTTCATGTTCATCCATGGCTTTGATTTTAATTTTTTTTTTGTTCAGGTAGAGTGGGAGGGAGAGAAAGGAACAGAGAGAGAGAAGCATAGATGTGAAAGGGACACATCGAGTGGCTGCCACCTGCATGACAACCAGGGCCAAGGACAAACTGCAACCGAGGTATGCGCCCCTAGCGGGAACCGAACCCGGGTCTCTTGGGACCACAGGCCGATGCTCTAACCGCTGAGCCAAACTGGCCAGGGGTTTCATTTTAATTTTTAATAGATATATATTCTATCAGGGGTGGGGAGGCTGGGGCATATTAGACTGTTTTAAATATTTTGCTATTATAAATAACTATGCAATGAACATATTAATTTTCTGATTTTGGATAATTTCTTAAAGATAAATCTCCGGAAGTAGGATCACTAAATCAAAGAGGATGTGTGTGTACGTGTGTGTGTGCGTGCGTGTGTGCATGTGTACGTGCATGTGTGCACACGCGTGTGTGTTCAGATGAAGGAATTCCTTGGGCCATTTTTCCAAAGCACCTTCCTTTTATTACTACATGATCATTTCAGAAACATCTACTTCTTCTATGTCCCTTCAAATCTTTAAAAATACTTTTAGTGCAGTTTACAACAAAGAATTTGTAGCTTTCTTGGGGAAACACAGATGATGACCTACTTGGTTTCTGTCGCTGCTTTTGGCTTTCATCTCAGGATGTACGAATCAACCCTTCCGCACAGCCACGCAGCAATGCCCCAGTGATTCGGCCCCACCGACACAGGGCTCCCTTGGAGCGCGTGTGGTGGACACGGAGGGTAGCAGTGTGGAGTCCGGTGGAATTAACTCACCCACTTCCACATGCTTTTAAAATCCCAAGATAGTTGTTGGTGGAAAGCGGTCCCCGGTTTGGGGGACTTAAGTCTTTTTTCTTTTCTTTATTGATTTGAGAGAGAGAGAGGAAGGGAGAGAGCGAGAAATAGAAACATCAATGAGACAGAACATTGACTGGCAGCCTCCTGCACGCCCCCCACTGGGGATCGGGTCCACAACCTGGGCATGTGCCCTGACTGGGAACCGAACTGGTGACCTCTAGGTGCAGGGTCGACGCTCAACCACTGAGCCACACCACTGGGCGGGGATTTAAGTCTTGAATAGGGAGGTGGAAACTCATCTGCTCACTACTTAGTGGAGCATCTTTAATCGTCCCGAGTTCTCAGAGCTGATGACTCATTGATCTGAGAACACGCTGGGGGGAGGGTGAAGACAGCATCATCGTCCTTTTATAGACTGAAAACGCAGATGGAGGGATGTCCACAGGTGCCCCAGTGAATCGGAGCTTCCCCCACCTCTAGCCTTCCACTGTCATTAGAATAAAGTGTATTTGAAGACGTGGCTGTGGGACTCAGGCTCTGCCCAGGCGGTTTCCGGGGTCAGCCCCCAGCCCACAGCGACCAGCTGTCTGTCGTGGGCACATTCTTTCAGCTCGAGACCTCGGTCTGCCTTCTAAGGAGCTGTGACGCCCGCCGCACAGGGTGCTGGGAGGCGACATCCGTGTCCCTGCAAAGCGCCCACAAAGCGTGTGACCTGAGGGAAGAGCGGAGCCCAGCCCCACCACGTGGCCTCACTCACAACCGGAAACGAGGCAGCTCTGCGCCCAGGAGGGTGGGAAGGCCCAGCCCCACCCACGGGTCCAGGAAGGGCAGGGCCGGCTGTCCAGACACATCCCAGGCCCCAGGCCCTCACCCCATCCCCTCCCAAATGGAGGCCCTCAGGGTCCCTCCTGGCCCACTGGGGAGGCAGTTCCGACGGGGACACCCTTTTCCTACCGGCCAGGGCCTTGCAATCAATCCAGAGCCACTCCTCACATCAATAAGTAGATTTTGCTTCTTGGCTACAAGGATTCAAGGGTCACATGGTCCTTTCTCGTGCATGTGTGGACTCCCCGACTGGGGCCCATACCGTTTACCTTCCTTGGACGCTGAACGCAGGGAACAGGCACCGGGACAGACGGCTCTGCCGGGACCACGTGCGTGTACCACAAGCCCTGAGGGCCCAGACCTGGAATCAACATCTGCAGGGACCACCGGAGGCTGGAGTACAGATGGGCAAGGCTGGGCGTGTCCGCAGGTTCAGCGTTTGCCCCCTTCTGTCTGGTCTGGGCAGAAGCTGCTTGCTCCTCGGGCGACGGGAGGCCGGCTGGGCGGAGGTCCCCACCCAGAGACCTGACTTGGCTGGGCTGCCAGGACCCGGGACACCATCGGGGAACCTGCAGACCCGGACGGGGCAGGACTAGGTGTACAGACGTCAGCCAGCCTGCGCTGCTGCTTGTGGCCACTGTCTAGGCTCCGAAAGCTTGTGTGCAGCCCAGACCCCTGGTGCTTGTTTCCTTAGCACCAGCAAACGGGTTGTTCTGCCCAGAAACCGCCTGTGCACTGAACACACACAAGAAAGGGTCCCCACCCCTACAACGGCAGCACCTTGGCTTCCTGTTCTCGTTCCCTGGCTGGGATGTGAGACCCCCGCTATGGGCTGACCAGTTGACTGTCAAGGACTGTCCACCGGGGTCAGTCACAGCAGCAGGGGAGGCAGGAAGGACACAGTCCTGCATGGCTGTGAGGACACGTGAACAATGAACCGTACGAATGTGACAGCTGCAGGGGCCAGAGCACAGGCTGGTGCGAGGGGAGGGCAGCGTTTAGGAAGACTTCCAAGTGGCATTCAGCTGCTGTGCCCTGCGGGGGGGCCAGGCAGAGACAGAGGCCATGGACACAGGCCTGCAGGAGCCACAAGCAGGACCTCGGGAGCGGCAGGAAGTGCCAGCCCAGGGTGACTGTCAGCCTGTGCCTCTGGAAGCTGTCCCTGCTGCCCCTCAGGGCAGACCCCTCACTGGCTTGTGGAGCCGAAAAGCCGGGCACCACCCAAGGCTCATCCCCAGGGCTGACTGCTGCCTCCCAGCAGACAGTGGGCCCTGCCCGAGTCCCAGTGACCGCTGTGTGACCGCCCACCCACTGACCTAACCGGCCCCATCAGCAGCCGAAGCCTGGGCCAGGCCCAAAGAAATCGGGCTCTGCTATGGGCGGGAAGTCCCTCTTCCCAGGCACTCGGTCCTCGGGCCCTCCACCCCTCCGGAGATGCCGAGACCCGACAGTAGCTTCTGATCGGCCTGTTTTGCTGATTGGGTTTTGCTGTCAGGAGGCAGGAGCATCCTGTGTGTGTAAGTATATAACAGTATTAAATATGACGGCAAGCATTCAAGGAACGCTTACCATGAGCCAGACATTAACTCACATAATCCTCTTGCCGACCCCGAGGCGCAGAGGTCAGGGAGCCCCCCCAAGGCCCCAGGGACCGGTGTGGCGTCGCTCACGGAGGTGGCCTGTGACTCACCCGGGTCCAGCTGCAGGGAGACACCTCCTTGGACTTGGACTTGGTGTTTTTCCTTCCCAAAGGCTCAAAAGGACACAGGTACCCTCATGAGAGGGGTCACTAAAAAGAGCCAGGAGGGCTGAATGGAGAGGCTGGTTCCGATGACATTGCTTCCAAAGTCTGGCCTGTGGCCCCACCATGAGTGTTCTTCACAGGGCCTGCCACTGTGGTCCCAGGCTGCCGCCGGTGGTGTCCACACTGCACACCCCGGGGAGCGGACACCCTCCCGCGACCC